ATATATATATATATATATATATATATATAGAGAGAGAGAGAGAGAGAGAGAGAGAGAGAGAGCATTAGTATCTGTTTGAGGTGTATATGCAGAGGGTGCATTACCTGTAATCCAAACGACTTTGCCTTTGAATTTATTTTCATTTTCAGAGCGACAGAATGTGTTGAAATCGCAGAGCGGCAGCAGCAGAGGAGCAGCCAATACCCATAAGACAGCAGCAACGCATGCAGCAGCAGCAGAGACACAGAAGAGAGCAGCAAGAATCCAGAAGAGCGGAGACACCGCTAATCTCGCAATATCTTTTTTAGCATATTTGCAGCAGTCGCTCTCAACCCAATTTGTTAGTTTTGCTGCTGCTGAGCTGTCTATACGCCTCAAGACGCCTATGAAATAGCGGTAGTTTGCGTGCAATGTCTCCTTTAAAATATCTATCATCGACTCGCTTATGTTATTCTTCTGCTGCTTATGAGGGGAAGCAAAATACCCCTTTTTCTCGCTGCTGCTGCTGCTGCTGCTGTTGTTCTTCATGCTGCTGCTGCTGCTGCTGCTGTTATTGTTGTTCTTAGGGCTCCCAGTGATGCTGCTGTTGTTACTGCTGCGAGGATCGCCCGACCTGCTGCCTGCTAATGAAGCCTCGTTAGAAGCCATGCTGCTGCGGTGTATATTTCAATCTCGCAGTGTATATACACCCCAATTGTGTGGCGGTACCGGAGTGGAAACCCCGACGAAATACAGGTTAAAGCGAGGTAAATAGGGGTTTAAATGAGAGTATTAAGTAATTAATATCTGAAAATAAAGAAAGAAAACAAAAAAAGAAATAATAATTTACCTATATTATATATAATATATATATACTAAGCGAGAGAGAGAAGGCCGCAGCCGCCTCTACATCTGAGCTGTACATACACCTCAACTCGGAGGAATCTAAGGGCTTGTAAGGGTTTATTGAAGAGAAAAAGAGAAGATAATAGACAGAAGGCGAAGATATTTACACCATATTTGTCTAACAACACTCAAAAACAAACAACAATTGACCTGCAACAGCAGCAGCAGCAGCAGCAGCAACAGCAGCAACAGCAGCAGCAACACGACGAGAGGCGGGCGCTGCCGCTGCTGCTGCTGCTGCTGCTGAGTTTTCCTAGGCTGCTGCAGCAGCAGCAAGAGCAACAGTTGAGGTGTATGTCCACCTGAATTTAGCATTTAAAGAGCCGGTATTTGTTATTTTATTATATTTTATGAGTTTTTATAGTCATTGTATTAATAAGAGACGCTGTATAAACTTTCTTGTTCTTAGTTAAAGCAGCAGTTATCTACTCTTTATGCTGAGGTGTATATATACACCTCGTCTCGCCTTACGCCTCCTATTTGAATCTTGAGGCTTCAGCGTATGTAAAAAGAGTTAAATATTTCTTTTTTAGTTTTTTTATCTGCTCTTCTCTGTCTCTACCTCTTTATTGTGCTGCTCTACACACCCCCCAGAGCTCTCTCTGTCTTTGTGTGTGTGTGTATGTCTTTGCTGCTTGCTGTCTTTGTGTATATCTCTCCCTGTCTTTGCTGCTGTCTTTGCTGCTGCTGTCTGCTGCTCTTCTTCTTTCTTTTTCTCTGTCTTTCTTCTTCTGTTTCGTCTTCATTGCATATCAGAAGCAAAGACAGCAGCAACTGCAGCAGATGCACTGCCACCGTAGCCTCCCTCCTCAGCAGCAGCAGCAGCAGCAGCAGCAGCAGCGGCAGCAGCACTTGCAACTGCAGCTGCTCTGCTGCACAGGAGCACAGCAGCAAGAAGCATAGCAGCAGCAGGAACTGCAGCAGCAGCAGCAGCAGCAGCAGCAGCAGCCGATGGCTCTTCGTGCTGCTTCTTTCGCTCCCTCTGCAGTTCCTGTGTCTTCAGCATGCGAGGGTGTGGATTCAATTGCTTGCAGCTGTTATTCTGCTTCTCGCTCTTCCTTGCATCATCACCACCATCTGCAGCAGCAGCAGCAGCAGCAGCAGAAACACGAGCAGCAGCAGAAGCACGAGCAGCAACAGCAACAGCAGCAGCAGCAGCAACCTGGAGCATTTCGTTTGTTAGATTCTCTTAATCGCCTCGGGTCTTGGGTTTGTGCGGGCGAGGGCTTTGATAGAAATGCAGAGGGGGGACAGCTGAAGACGCGGAGGCTTCTAAGGGCTTCGCTGCCTTCTACTAGCTGCTGCAGCAGCAGCTGCAGCAGCACCTGCAGCAGCAGCAGCAGCAGCAGCAAGGGGAGTGCAGCAGCAAAGCTTGTGTTTAAAGACAGTCATCTCCATAGCTGCTCCTCCTGTGCTGCTGCTGAGGGTCGCAGCAGCAGAGCGCGGGCATGCCCCTTGGGTGGAGGCCGAGGGCTTGATGCTGCAGCAGCAGCTAGCTGCTGCAGCAGCAGCAGCAGCACTAGCAGCAAGGTGTTTAGGGGTTGCGAAGCCCACAGCAGCAGCAGCAGCAACAACAACAACAGCGTCAATAGCAGCAGATTGTCTGCTTGTGGTGGCGGAGGAAGAGCGAAGGAGAATGACAGCGGCATGCGTTCAGGATGCAGCAGCAGCAGCAGCAGCAGGTACAGCAGCAGCAGCAGCAGCAGGATAAGGTGCAGCAGCAGCAGCAGGAGGGAGATGGAGGAGCTTCAGATTTTGCTGCAGCGGGGGGACGCCGTGTTGTTTGAGCACGTACGAGCGATTGAAGCATATCAAGAGCTGCTGAGTGCAGCAGCAGCAGCAGGGAGAGGCAGCAGCAGCTTACACTGGGAGCTGCTAAATGCAGGAGATAGAGTTAGAGAGGAGTTTTTGTGGCTGTCACGAAGAGGAGGTGTGGGGTCAAAGACAGCAGCAAATCTAAGAGCACAAGCAGGAAGACGTGCTGCTGCAGTAGATATTATAATGAGTTATGCAGCAGACTTGCAGCGCTGCTTTGGAGCAGCAGCAAGAGATGTTCCTAGGGTGTCTGTACACCTGGCAGTGTCTATACTTGATGCAGCAGACCTTATATCTCGAGTAAGAGGAGATGCAGAGGGGTTAAAGAGCTGTGCTGCCTTCTGCTTGCTGCTAGCAATGCAGCATGAAGCTCCTAATAGCACTGCACTTGAAGCAAAGTTAAAAAGGTTGCTGGGGCTAGATAATTTAATACCGCAGACGTTCGGGATGTCTTTCGTTGCGCTGCAGCAGGAGACGCTGGCTAAGCTTAACGGCTGTCTCTGCATGCCTCTTCCTCTTGAATTTGCTTGCTCTTACTTGCAGCAAATGCAAGATGCTGACGCACAAAACCAGCAGCAGCAGCAGCAGCAGCAGCAGCAGCAGGTGCTGCCAGGAGCAGCAAGCAGGGCAGAGCTTGTGTCTTATTTATTAGATTGCTTTTGTCTTGCGCCAGAGTATGTGGTGACGCCTCCTTCGCTTGCTGCAGCAGCAGCAGTAGAATTAGCTCTTCGTATTGCAAGTGCAGATCCTACCACCCCACAGACCCCACCCCACACTCGACCCCACACCTCCCGGGGGAACGATCCCGATCCCGATCCCGATCCCGGGAGACGTGGGGGCTCAAGACCCACCTCCAACCCAGACAGACGTATAGGAGGATATACAAAGCAGCAACTACGACCTGCATTGAAGGCGCTGCAGCTCTTCTTAACAACCAAAGCAGATAAATACCCAGGGCTTCAGCGCCTCCACCTCAAAGGCTGGGGGTCAGTGAACTGGCAGATATCTCACGAATAAACTTCAGGTGTATAGGCACCTCAAAAGGTGCATAGACACCCCAAAAGGTGTCGGTAGATATCCGAAGCAGGGCTTACACGTAAAAAATACAATACCTTACGCAGCAGCCGCGCTGCATGCATACATCCGTCTACATACAACTCAGGAGGCATCCTACTTTACTTTCTCTTTGGTCTGCTGCAGCAGCAGCAACAGCTGCTGGTGCTGTTGCCGCTGCTACTGCAGCAACAGCTGCTGCTGCTGTAGCCGCTGCTGCAGCAGCAGCAGTTGCTGCTACTACTACAGCGCTGGACTCCGCCGAGAGGAGAGGGAGATAATAGAATTGTTTTTTTTTTGCATGCATGCGTTGGGGTGTATGTGCAGTGTCTGCACTGCCGATACACCCGAAGGCATGCATGCATGCAAATATAGTGGAGCCAACAGTGACACAAGTTTGGGGTGTATGGACAGGGCGGTGTTTTTGTTTGTCTTTATGTCGCTGCATCTCTTTATTATGTTTAATAGTATTAAGCGATTTATATGTTTATTTGCAGCTCTCTTCTCTTTCCTTAACGCATCTCTCCGCATGTACTTGCTTGCAGGCTTACCCCATATATTATATATATAATATATATAATATATAATATATATTATATATATATTATATATATATTATATGGATATCCTTTACGCATACATATGCGTATGTATCTCTCTCTGTATCCGTGGGTATATGTCATATATATATATATATATATATATATATATA